GGTACAACATGTATGCGATGCCATGCTGTGTCGCCCTCCACCCAGAAATCCGACTGGACCCTTGTCTTCTCCCACCAAGCAAGAAACGACGCCTCATGTAGTAGGTCCTGAGTGAGCAACTCCTTGACTTCTGGGCTGAGCTTCTTATCGTGGAAAATCCGGAATGGAGGGGCCTTGGTGGTAGAAGTGACAACTGCGGGTGCGGTTGTAGGCTTTGTAGATGACGATGTAGTAGCTTCCGTGTGGTAGTCTGGGCCTGGAGTGCTTTGTCGTGCGTTACCACTATTTGCCTGATGCACAACTGAAACTGCAAACGCCATGTACTGCTGCCCTGTCGAGGTGGAAGTCTCTCCGATGACCAGCCGTTCGAGGTCGTTTACCGGCTTTGCCGGTACTATGGGAATTGCCGGGTGACCCGACGAAGTCGTGACGAGATCAAATCCAAAGACCCCGACACGGGTAAAATCCGCTCGGTTCTCTGCAACATCGTAGATCATCCCGAGCTGGGCCAACGCTTGCTTCGACATCAAGAGGGGCACATCACCGTTGATAATGGAGGTCCGCATCTCCACCACATGCTGGCCCATCTTGAAGGAGAGAACCACGTGGAACGAGGAGTGGTGCACCTTGCCGGTACCGAAGCGGAAAGCCTCGCTTTCGCGCACCAGCTGTGGGCGCTGGTTGACTTTCTCCAGTGCATCGCTGTACTGCTGCAGCCACATAGTTCCAGCCACCGCCTTTGCGCAGGCAGTGTCTGTGATTCCCAAGAGCGTCGGTCCATCATGGCGCAGGGAGAAGACTTCGGCCGCGACGTGGTGGCACACTTCCACTTCCTTCACCGTCCTGTTTCCGGCACCTCCGCCGCCCTGATTAGGGCACTCTTGGTCGCGGTGCCAGTGTCCTTTTTGCCCGCAACTGCTACAGTAGGAGCGCGATTTCATGAGCTTCACCTTCTCGTCGCGGGTGAGCTCGGCCTTCTTCGCATTGTCCTTGTTGTATCCGCCACCGCGATCGCCGTGGAAGCCTCTCGCCTTCTGCTGCTCCTTGTAGCGGTCCTTCGCACTCTGGTAGGTCGCGTACGCGGTGGCCACCTCTTCAGGAACCCCGTCTTCGAGCTCGATGTCCTCTTGCCGAGTGGCCGCACCATCCTCATCATCATCTTCCTCCGGGGCTTCTGTCAGGTGGGCTGTGTAAGGTTTTCGGGCTCGTCCAGATTCCCAAGGTTTGCGGTGGCTACGATCGTGTAG